TATATTATATCATTACAATGACTTATCAGTTTTACAGGTTATTTTTTATATGAAATGGAATTGTGCATCATTGTTAAGGGGTAAAATGTTAATGCATGTGTTATATTGGGGCGAAAGAAAATTACGGTACTTCTTGAACGATGTGCACTGTAAATGTCTAACATTAATGACGGCTTGAGGGCAAGATTGAGGTAAAGAGTGGACGAAAAACATAATACACACATATCCCGAGTATTTTCTACCTTTTTTGTTTCAATTTAGAATTTTTCAACTTTTTCATTTATTCCAACAAATTGGTCAAAAAAGTAATACATTCCTTTTGCTCTAGCTACCTATTGTTTTGTGCCATTCACCTGAAGTAACAACTTGTTTACTCTTGGAGAAGATAGCTATAAAGCTGCACTTAGTCTATGAAAATAGAACAGTTTTCTCCAGTGGTAGGTTAGGTTATGTTTTAAGGTTATACTCTCCACTGTATTTCATTGTGGGTGATAACACAGTTCACTCTAAGAAAGACTGACATTACCATTTTAACCATCGTGAATAAGATTGCAACCAAGACGGGAAGTAAATACACACAGAGACACACACACTGTGTTTGTTTTCAAGAAAGATTGTTCATTGTGTTTTTGTACATGTATCCAATCTTTATATTCCTGATAAACTCAATTTTTCTATGGACTTCTAAAGGCTTTATCAATTTGTTTTTTTTAAGTATTTTCCAGGATTGCCTTGAATTACACGAGAGAGAGAGAGAAATGGAAGATTTACCGATCTCTAATATTAACAAAAAATGTGGGGGGTCAGTTATTTTAAGCTAGATTTTAATACACAGTTAGAAACTTGTAGCTTTTCGGTTAACCTTTAAATTTGGTCAGCGAAACGTTTGCGGACTTCCCACGTTAAAATCCGGAGTTTGATTCTTCGTAGTAGATACAGCGCAGATAGCACATTGTGTAGGTTCTCGCTAAACCAAAACAAACAAACTCGTATATAATCCAATTACTCTCAATGATTAGCAGTGTGAGAATTAATGCGCACGTGAGGTAAAAGTGAAGCGGGACTGCAACTTTCCGATCAATTTCTTGTTGTCCTTGCTCCCTGACGTATTCTAAGTCAATGCACGACTCTTATAGGCAGAAACCCAAAAATTAAGGGGAAAAACAGGCTAAAATATTCGTTAAATGTTAAATTTGTAAAGGTAAAATTAAATTTTATTTTGTTTCGGGTGAACTTATCAACGAGGAAATGACGTATAGAAAATAGATTGGTGGTTTGTGTGACATCACAACAAGACTGTTTGTTGGTTGGATTTAGCACAAAGCCACGTTTGACTATGTACTGTGTCCAGCGCGGGGAATCTAACACCGGATTTTAGCGTTGTAAGCCCGTCAACTTACCACTGTCCATCGCAATAAGACTGATACCACAATAAGTGACGTATAAAATAATTATTTTTTTTTCTCCACTTTATATTATGGTTATTTGACTAGATCTGGTTTGTGACAAAATGAAATATATTCGGCACATAAAGTTTTTAATCCATTTATTTACAACACAAAAAATAGCGAAGATTCGTATTGTACATATAAAGCCTTACAGGGTTTTAGTTTTGTTTTCATATTTAATATAATAAAAATTCAAAAAACATACAACTTAAAATCCTTTACCTTTTCAACATTTAAAGCAATTAATTGTCTATCACATCAACCGAACATAGCTATGATATTCTAATTGTTTCATGCAACAAAATAATTTCACGTTTTAAAAATGAAACATTGCACACTGTCCACCATTATTCATCAGTTACCTTTAAAATGCTTTTCTTTAGATGCCAAGGTGTATCTAAACTTGACCGTTTTTATCTTTTTTTGGTTTCTGTCTCTCAACAAAAATATAAACTATTTCTCGGGAGAAAAGGTTTTAACGTCCGAATCGAGACAGATATTGCGCATGTACATAAAAAAACATACGTACGCACATCAGTCATTAATAAACATACACACATATTGAATACATTCATATATATATATAAGTAATTCACAATCATACAAACCCCCGAAAATCACTTGTTTATTTCGGCTACTTTAGTCTGATTGAGTTTTTCAACTGAATTAAATACGAAACTTTTTAAGGACTACTTGAAGAGGGCGTATAGCTGCACTGTGGACAAAACGTGAGAACATTGCTTTTATTGACTGATACTTTAAAAAGCACTGCAAGAAAAAACACCCTATGAATTTTACGGACACTTTCCCTATACTGTACATGATAAAACTGTAAACCTACTGCACGAGTAAGGTGTTCAGTGCCGTCCGTATTTTATTTATTTGTTGACTATGTGAAACATACAATAGCTGTCTTAACGAAAAGCTTAACGCAGAAACTATATTTTAAAACCATCAAAATACGGAATGACTTATGGGGTTATAATATACGTACCGACATACAGTGCACTCAATATTTCACGAGGACCATTCATCACACGTTCTTCTGTGTTTGCAGCATCGCTTCCCTTGAGTAGCATTTAGTTTACAGTATCGCTTCCCTTTGAGTAACACTTAGTTTACAGTATCGCGCCCTTTGAGTAGTATCTAGTTTACAGTATTGCTTCTCTTGTGTAACATCTAGCTTATAGTATCGCTTCCCTTGAGTAACATCCAGTTTACAGTATCGCTTCCTTTAAGTAACATCTAGTTTACAGTATCGCTTCCCTTGAGTAACATCTAGTTTACAGTATCGCTTCCCTTTGAGTAACACCTAGTTTTCAATATCGCGTCCTTTGAGTAGCATCTAGTTTACAGTAACGCTTCTGTGGAGTGTCATCTAGTTTTACAGTATCGCTTCTTTTGAGTAACATCTAGTTTACAGTATCGTTTTTGTGTAACCTCTGTGACTTTAATCACTTTATTTTTTAAATAACGGATGAGGCCTTGATCACTTCACGTTTATAAGCAACCTAAGTAAACTTGATCTTCTAAGTAACGTCAGTAATCTTGACATTCTAACTCTTCTAAGTAATGTTATTAATCTTGATATTACTACTCTTCCAAGCAATTCTTTTGGCCACGGTCGTTTGCCCTGACCTTGATCGGCTGTTGTTTTAAGTATAACATGCAACTTAATCTCCTGTCGTCCATAAGTAACACATGTGACCTTACTCGCCTGCCGTCTTTGAGTAAAACTTGTGACCTTACTCGCCTGTCGTCTTTAAGTAAAACATGTGACTTTGCTCGCCTGTCATCTTATATAGAACATGTGACCTTACTCGCCTGTCGTCTTTATATAAAACATGTGACCTTACTCGCCTGCCGTCTTTAAGTAAAACATGTGACTTTGCTCGCCTGTCATCTTATATTGCTCTTATATAAAGTATGTGACCTTGTTCGCCTGTCGTCTCTAAGTAAAACATGTGACTTTGCTCGCCTGTCATCTTATATAGAACATGTGACCTTACTCGCCTGTCGTCTTTATATAAAACATGTGACCTTACTCGCCTGCCGTCTTTAAGTAAAACATGTGACTTTGCTCGCCTGTCATCTTATATAAAACATGTGACCTTACTCGCCTGTCGTCTTTATATAAAACATGTGACCTTGTTCGCCTGTCGTCTCTAAGTAAAACATGTGACTTTGCTCGCCTGTCATCTTATATAGAGCACGTGACCTTACTCGCCTGTCGTTTTTAAATAACCCATGTGACCTTGCTCGTCTGTTGTTCTAGGAGCGTCTGTGGCAGTTACTGTTTCACTTTGTTAAAAACGAACTACGAAATTGACAGTTGACATTAAGGGTATTTTATTACTAGGAGAATCGCAGAGAGTCAGTGTTCCAAGCTTCCGGACCTTGTAAGGTTTCACTATTTCTTTCTCACTAAGGTTTCGAACTGTTGGAGTAATCAGTGTGATAGATGACATGAAAATATATATTTTGATTCAAACATAATTAAACTTTAAATTGCTCTTCCTTATATAGAAATTACGCCCTTAGTTACAGGGACGTTACATAACAATCTTTATCTAATTGTCTGAAACAAAATCGAAAACCTATTAGATTAACTTTTTAAAATGTTTGTTTCTAAGATCTATTTGAATAAAAATGGTTTCTGACAAACTAGCTATTATCAGGAAAGGAATGGTGGTGCTTTGTTTGCTTGTTTATTTTTAAGCTCAAAGCTGCACAGTGGGCTATCTTTGTTGTGCCCACGGCAGAGATCTCTAGCCCCGAATTTTAGCATTATAAGTCCTCGAGCTTACCACTGAACCAATCACTTAGCCAAAATTATAGTTGTAACTAAAACATAAGCGTGATAGAAACATTAAAGGTATATAGTAATTCCCGAACTTCGAATACTTCACGTCCATCTGCACTGAACAAGTTTATTTACAGGAAATGTGAACATACCTTTGGTAATTTCATAGCTATGCATTTTTTAAATGAAGAACACTGAAGAAAATGTGTTATTTTTATAGAAATAAACACTATAGAAATAAACTCCTAAAGTAGGTAAGGTACATCAACTATTTCTGCATCTTTTAATATTCACACACATGACAAGATGATGCCCTAATAATCAAAGATACTAGAAAGTTTGGAGCACATAGATTTGGTAAATAACTTTTTTTTTATAAACGAAAGAAATAAGAAATAATAATATTTACAAAAAAGAATACTACAGTTAAGTTCTAAGATCTAAACGTATGCAGAGAAAGCCCACAAGCCCCACTAAGCTATACAAAGGATCTAGTAACCCAATACCTAAGCGTCATCTTTCTCATGACATATGAAATGCCAAACACTTCTTTTTTTCTTTTTAGGAAGATAGGAAATGTTAAACACTTCCTTTTTCCTTTTCAGAACATAGGAAATGCTAAACACTTCCTTTTTTTTCACGAAATAATATAGATGGTGGTCACTCAAACGTTGTCATCATTTGGTATAAGTTAGGGGAGTGTTCCTTTTCTTCCTATTTAACTCCTCTTCTCCAGAATGTTAATAAGATTTCATCATGGTCCTCCACAGAGTAGAACTGATGTACCGATTGCTACTTTCTAAAGAAGAGTAACTAGTATCACACCATAAAAGTCTAACGTTGTTTTATACGTTTACCAGGAAGCTATAAGAAAAACTTCTCTGTTGATACAACATAAAACGAACCTTTATAAAATGTCATCATTGGGAACTTAGATTTCTCCGGTCAGAGTGAGACAGTGAATTGTTTAGAGGAATCGTTAAAATCTTTCACTCTCGTAATGCTATCATCATCATCACAAAGACAGAAAGGAACCATAATTAGGATATCTTCAAACGTTCAACATTCTCAAGTCTGATGGGAAGGTGATTGTGTCACATTGAGGACATACTCGCTTGACACCCTGGTAAAAGTAAAGAAGAAGAAGAAAACTTGTATAAAATTATGGTTTGTTATCCAAATGAGGGACGATACTTTAAAAGTGCAGTACATTTTTTACTGACATAAAAAAATCAACGTTATTTTATACTAACACGCCTGTATATATATGCATATATGTTCTTATCACTATAAATAACGTTTTCAAACAAATCTTTAATAATCAGTTGAAAATGTTACAGGCCTTCCCGTGTTGGCAAGTACAGAACACACCTGTTTCACCAGTCGAGAAGTGGTATTGATACGATGTCACCCATGGTTGTTTTTTACTTAAGTAAATTGTAAGTATTGCAGAATTTGACAGTGGTACAATAATTTTCAGAATTGTTAGAATTGGTGTAACACAGCAGTAATTAAATGGAAAAATTACGTTAATTTCGTATGAAATGTTGAACAAAAAAGGTTTTACGGATGAAGTTCGTTCAGGGAATAATCCTTAACAAAAAGGTTTTACAGGTGAAGTTTATTCGGGGAATAATCCTTAACAAAAAGGTTTTTCTGGTGAAGTTCATTCAAGGAATAATTCTTAACTGATCGTACTTTTCTGACTAACGTCTATCGCAAACGTTCAAAGTTCATGTTTGAATCTCAAACTATTTCGGCAAAAATAAGATATTACATTCACTATTAAAAACGTTTGTAACAGAAACAACAACAACATAGATTGAATAAGAAAAGTACACTGTTCATTTCTTCAATTTTACCTCACACTACGCTTGTTAAAAATTTTAAAAATACGCCCGATTTTTTTAAATCAGAAAATAAAGCAAGCATGTATTTGTTCTAAGTTTGGAATTCTCAGGCGCTAATTATTGTTTAATTTTTTTATCATCGTCTATTCTCAGCCCTAATTCATTTCTTGGTTCTAAGAGTCTTTGGTTGTTGTCAAACACAAAGCTATACAATAGGCTATCTAAGTTCTGCCCATCAAGGGTATCAAAACCCTATTTTTAGCTTTAAAAGTCTTGAACCTTATATAATTTTCAGTGATATTTCTTTATTTATGCGTAAGGAAAGAAAACTATATTAAAATTTCCTCCTTATATCAATAAACAGCCAATAAACGTAAAAACGTTATTTGTTGAACAATTTCTCCTAATCCTTACACTTTTTATACTTTCTTCGTGACTGTAATACTACGATTTGTACTAAATTTCAAGCAGCACGTAATTCATCTAATCGTAGTAATAAGAGAGATAAAAAACATTTCACATTCAATAAAAATTAGCGGTTCGATCCTTTGTGTAGTTGTGGATTAATTCAAAGAAGCAAACAGTTTTACTTACCAAAGCTTGGAGCCAACAGCGCTCGCAGTGAACATGCCAACAACAGACAGAAACTACAGGCTTCTTGTAAAGATCCTAAAGAAGACAAAGGATTCGGGTTCACTGATTAGGTTTCGTGCAGTAATTACTTTCAATTTTCAAATAACGTAACTAAGCTTAAAATGGCCTAAAGTAAATTTAAAGAAGTTAGTTTTGATATTTAAAGTCATGTTTAGTCAGAGAACAAGTCAAATCCGAAGCTTTGAGGGTTTGCAACTAGTTTTACGAACGTATTATTCAGGTGTCCTTTGTCAGTTTTGAGAGTTTGTAATCTTATGTCTGATATTTTGCACAAGTGAAACAAGAAAATAATTTACTGATCTCGTTCTTCTGAAAGTAAGTTGTTTGGATAGGAGTAGCAGTAAGACTTAAACAGCTTAGACCTGTCATCAGTCATTAGGTTTCATGCAACTGGTTCCTTTAACCTTTGGATGTAACCTAAAGCTCATTAAAAAGTATCTTCTTATATAACCTTGAACTTCTTAACCTAAGACAATCAATGAAAAGGTTTGTCTACAAAAGGTGTCAATTACAAACACAGGCAGATGTGGTTCAATATGACTCCACATTACGAACGTACCTGGTAGAACTAACACTTATTTGATTAATTTAAATGTTTACTAAACATCTTCCAGAACATAATGACTCCACATTATGAACCTTCCTGGAAAATCTAACACTTATTTGGTTCATTTAAACGTTTACTAAACATCCTTCAGAACAGAATGACTCCACATTATGAACCTTCCTGATAGAGCTAACGCTTATTTGATTCATTTAAACGTTTATTAAACATCCTGCAGAACAGAATGACTCCACATTATGAACCTTCCTGATAGAGCTAACGCTTATTTGATTCATTTAAATGTTTACTAAACATCCTCCAGAACAGAATGACTCCACATTATGAACCTTCCTGGAAAATCTAACACTTATTTGGTTCATTTAAACGTTTACTAAACATCCTTCAGAACAGAATGACTCCGCATTATAAACCTACCTGGCAGAAATGACACTTTAATGTTGGCGATGGCTGCTGTCGTTTTTGAAGATCTTGGAGTCGATCTTGCAATAAGTCAATCAGTTTGTTGGGATCTGCATTCTCATCTATCTGGAACAATCTAAAGAAAGAAGTTTTTTAATTACCTTTCACAAAAATCAAAACTTTAGTTTTCGTATACAACTTAAGTATTTGTTTCAACTACGGTACCGTTGATGGATCGTATACTTTAAAAAGAAGCCTTTAATGTTTTAATGAAACTGTAGATTCACTCCATAGAATCCGCAAATCGCGTGAAAAATATTAGGATCGGACGGCAGAGAAGATTGTCGGAAATTTTAATTTTCATTAGATTAAGTTTAAAATTCTGACAACCTAAGCATAATAAAAGTTAATTGGTACTGAAAGATACAATCCGAACAGAGGATTACATCTAAGAATTCACACTTCAGTATATCAAACACGCGTATCACACGAAAAAACAAAACACAAACAAGTGTTTAAACATTGGTTCAAACACGTGATCGCGGTTTGACTGAAGCAAAGTATGCATAAGTGAAGCTTCACCGTTCTTTGATTAAATTATATATGTAGAGAAAGAACGCAACGAGTATGTACATTCTGAGATTTAAAAGAAAAGGAAATATACAAAATAATAGCTTCAAGAGATAGAAATACCAAGAAATACTATTGGATTCATAGGCTATGAGTTATAATACTCCTTAGAAATTTTATTGTAGAAGACTATGGTCTTATAATTCAATATCAGAGCATACAGGGTAAGCCATAAATCGAATTCGAAAGATTATAATCTCGCCAAGCAATCCATCATGTGTCCAGTGGTCATTTTCATTGCTTAAACTGTGGCGATGGTTATAGATTCGTCTCAGGAAAGCTTATGAATTCCAATTAGAAAAAAAATCAGTAAAATAATATATGCTATTGTCATTCACAAAACTATAAAGAGGACATAAATGATTCAGCCGAAATCGAAAAAGATATAATCGACTTTTAGCAGCATAATCTTAAGAGTGTACTAAAACTTTTTATGGGGACCTAGATGGCGCCCAAAAACCAGAAGTAAGATAATATTGGGATAAAAAATGAATAAATATAAAGATATATTTAAAATATAGCCACTCAGTGGCGCAGCGGTATGTCTGCCGACTTACAACGCTAGAATTCGGGTTTCGATAATCGTGGTGGGCAGAACACAGATAGCCCATTGTGTAGCTTTATGCTTAATTACAAACAAACAAACCATTTAAAATATACGATTTAGCATACGCTGTTTAAACGCACAGTTCAAGGTAAGTTTTGTAGAATGATTTTACTCAATATTAAATGATATAAGAATGAATAGATAATACCACTAACATATTTTAAAGCAAAACAGTTAATCACAAATTTGTTTCCCTTTTTTAACTAAGCGAAAAATACATATCAGTCAGTTTACATACAGGTAAATACACAACATGAATAAATCACTCAAAAGTAAATCATTTAAAACTTTTCCACAAACCCAGCTAAAACACACCCGGAATGTGTCAGATGTTGTTTTAAATACGATATATATATTATTCTTTTTTTATAAATAGAAACACTGAAATAATTTTTATTTCCAATCTTTTCATACTTACTCGGTTTCTGGCAAAGTATTTTCTATCTTTGGACTGGAACTTCTAATGGTAATGTTTGTGCTGAGAGTATAGTTAAGAATGGAAGAACATTGGCCAGAATCACTTTTTATTATTAATATGTTCGCGTTTGGCCGTTAATATAAGTGCTTGATTGTGTTATTCAAGATAGATGCTCAGAAAGAAAAGGGATTCTATTTCGCGTAGGCCAGCTACATAATATTACAACCAGTAATGTTATGGATGTTGACAATCAGACATCAATTCTTTCACCAATGGTGTTATGGATGTTGACAATCAGACATCAATTCTTTCAGCAATGGTGTTATGGATGTTGACAATCAGACATCAACTCTTTCACCAATGGTGTTATGGATGTTGACAATCAGACATCAACTCTTTCACCAATGGTGTTATGGATGTTGACAATCAGACATCAATTCTTTCACCAATGGTGTTATGGATGTTGACAATCAGACATCAATTCTTTCATCAATGGTGTTATGGATGTTGACAATCAGACATCAATTCTTTCACCAATGGTGTTATGGATGTTGACAATCAGACATCAATTCTTTCACCAATGGTGTTATGGATGTTGACAATCAGACATCAATTCTTTCACCAATGGTGTTATGGATGTTGACAATCAGACATCAATTCTCATCATAGTCCCATTAAGAAGAATGCATTTCATACAGCGTTCCGTGGAAATCATTATTCAGATGTGTTTCACGAATGTAATTAGGTACTACTGTTTTAAAAATAACAGTTTTCTACGAATGTTGTCAGAATGTCATTGAGAAGCTCGTAAGGGATATAAGCCACAGTGTGCTAGGTGCACTTGGAATGGCGAGGGCTCCTCCATAGAAACTTCTAAACTGTAATTATTACGTCATGTTGTTCCAAATGTTTCTCAAAATGTGTATTCTGCAGTTGTGTTGCACGCCATAATCGTTGAAACACAAGCATACGATGACTCTAACAGCGGAGGGATATTGACCTATTAACAGGATCCTTCATCAGCCCCAATATACTCTTATCCAGTGAATGGATAAGAAAATCCAATTTCTTTCTGAGCATCACCCACATAAGATCACAACAGAGTAATGAACAACATTTTATGAAACAGACATATAAAAAAAAAAAACATGTTGCAGAAGTACAAAATAAAAGGATACTGAGAATGACTGTCTTTCATGGTTGGTCCTCCTATCAAGCTTGAACTAGCTTCTATATCTTGATGTTTAGAATAAGAAAAAAGTTAACATGTAACATATACGCTGTGGTTTAAAACAGACATAACAACGTAGATTACTAAGTGAAATAACATTCATAATTAAAAGCGTAGTTCAAAGAGCTTCATATAAAGGATTATGTGACTAATACAAAAGTGGGTTATTTCTAGTCGGCGTTTAGAAATCTGAATTTGATTTGCATATTCTTGTGTTAGTGCCAGAACCAATAAATGAAGTGTTTATTGTAACGTCACCGATGCGTCACTGAAGCAAGAGGGTTCTTTCCAAATCTTGAAGAAAACGTGAAATTCCAAGATACACAGAGAGATCTATATCGATCAGTATAATAGTTCTAACGGTTTCAGCTATGATTAAGAGTTGATATGAGTAGAAACTGAAACATTGCATTTTTTATACAATGTTTTAAGAATATTGTAAACTGATCAGCCAGTCTGCTAGAGGTCGACACTGTGGTACAGAAACTTTTATTCATAAATGATATACCACGGCTAAGTGATATCTCCCCCACAACAAATATTACACCATAACACTAACATCCCAAACTGTGGTACAGAAACTTTTATTCATAAGCGATATACCACGGCTAAGTGATATCTCCCCAACAACAAGTATTACACCATAACACTAACATCCCAAACTGTGGTACAGAAACTTTTATTCATAAGCGATATACCACGGCTAAGTGATATCTCCCCCACAACAAAAATTACACCACAACACTAACATCCCAAACTGTGGTACAGAAACTTTTATTCATAAGTGATATACCACGGCTAAGCGATATCTCCCCAACAACAAATATTACACCATAACACTAACATCCCAAACTGTGGTACAGAAACTTTTATTCATAAGTGATATACCACGGCTAAGCGAGATCTCCCCCACAACAAATATTACAACATAACACTAACATCCCAAACTATGGTACAGAAAATTTTTATTCATTAGCGATATACCTCAGCTAAGCGATATCTCTCCCACCCTCCACAGCAAATATTACGACATGACACTGACAACCAACTCGAAACTTACAAGCCGACATACAAGATCTACAGTATCCGAAGCAGCTTCCGCCCTGTTGGCTTGTTATAAATTACAGAATGGCTTGGAATCTTGTAACTGAATACAGAGTGCGTGGTTGTGGTTGCCAGAACATCAGGCCCACTGTAGGTTTATTGGTGGTTCGGCGAATTTCTCTTCTCGGCAGCTGCTTCAAGAATGTCTGGATTTTTAATATCTGAGGTTGAAAAGTAATGTCACGGATGGTTTTAAAGAAGGAATTCTAGATTACAAAGTTAGAATTACTTGTCGGAATAGATTGATACGTCATGTCGAAGACGAAACCACTAGAAACTGGTGTATTGTAAGTTTGCGGTAGCCTTGGAGACGACTTCTCATTGTTTCTTTAGTATAACTTTAAGTAAAGTAATAAAGTGACTAATAACTTTGTTCAGCTAAACAAGCAACAAGATTGGAAAAGCATTTAAAGTTTTATCGAAATCAATTGAAGAGAATTCGCCGTCTTTCAGCTTCAATACGCTAAAAGGAATTTTTGGTTCAAACATGTTAACCAGGCCATGAATTCCAGAAATGTTTCAGTAAGATCTCTCCGTAAAAATACAAAGTTTCTTTCAAATCACTGATTATAATCTACTTTTGTCCATAAATAAAAGAGGAAATAGAAATTCAAATAACAGGGAAAATCACTAAAGAAAGAATATGAAAGAACAATGCAAAGATAGGAATAGAACTACAAATGTTGCTTACGCAATGTTCTAAACATGTCATCATGAAAACACAATTTATGTAGTAAGCCTTTTCAGTGTTATATCCAAGCGCTCTGTGGCTTATGCGAGTCAATGATGTACTTAAGTAGCCAATAACATGCTTTTACATTACATCTGAGCAAGTAACTAATTATGCTGGTATTGTAATCAGCTGCTTTAGAAATTATGCCAGTGTTATAAGCAACTACTCCAAAGTTTGTTGTAATCAGCTGCTCTAGAAATTATGCCAGTGTTATAGGTAAATACTCCAAAGTTTGTTGTAATCAGCTGCTCTAGAAATTATGCCAGTGCTATAAGTAAATAATCCAAAGTTTGTTGTAATAAGCTGCTCTAGAAATTATGCCAGTGTTATAAGTAAATACTCCAAAGTTAGTTGTAATCAGCTGCTCTAGAAATTATGCCAGTGTTATAAGTAAATACTCCAAAGTTTGTTGTAATCAGCTGCTCTAGAAATTATGCCAGTGCTATAAGTAAATAATCCAAAGTTTGTTGTAATCAGCTGCTCCATAGCTTAATTAACGTATATTTACATTTATATACTGAATACCATGAAAAACGTTATGGCTACAAAAAATGTGATTATATAACTAAGAAACTTCAATATGTCTAAACGTAACTAAACATCTAGTGGCAAATTATTAAAATAAAATAATTCAACCAAATAAACAAAATTCCAAAAATACTTTCAATACCTTATGAAAAATAAAAAAAATAATCAAACACAGGGAAGAAAGATAAAGCAAGCTTAAAACGCGGTCGCTTTTAAATTAATATTTTAAGTAGAAAGAAAAACAATCAAATTTATGCTCAACTTAGTGCTTTAAAAGTGTGTTTTTGGCTCGTGAAAATCTTAAATTTGCGATATTTACTAAATAATTTTGCTAACAAAATTTACGAAGCAGCTTACCTTGTTCACGGTTTGGCGAAGTGTCATTCTGATCTTTACAAGTCTCCATCGCGTCTTTCTCCTGAAAATAATTAAGGATTTTTATTTATTTGCTCATTGGATAGCAAAAATCTGTTACATGCAACACCAAAATCCAGCTATGTAAAAAAAGTAAGCATTCTAAGGGTTTTTACTCCTATTACAGCCCTTTTTAATGTTCCATTTATTGGTTTTGCGAAATAAAACAACAGCCAGAATATGAATACTCCCGCTTTCACAAAATATGACGTCATGCTTTCTTCTCCTTGATATGCGTACTTACAACGACAAAATACTGATGTTTTGATAACACTGGCTAGTAATAAATTTACTGCTCAAATTATGAAAGTAATAATTACCCTGTGTTCATTTACTTCTTGTTGAAAGAAATCCGGTGAACGTCTTCTGGGTTTCACATGTCTTGCTAAGAAATACAAAAATAAATAGATAAGTTGTTGTTTTTCTTGTTTGCTTATTAACTTCTGTCTAAAATAAAGAATTTTGTTCACAATCTATAGTAACAACGTGTATAACCAATCATTTTACCCCTGGTCTATCACTAGAGCACCATAGACGTGAAAGAAAAACTGTAAGACCTTGGTACTCATCCTTGTATCATTACCGTATATCACAATCAGCCTTTTGTATATATATTCATCTTTTAAGTTTATTCATTTGAATTGACTTTCATTGAACTTTTTCAACTGGAAAACGAGCTAAAGCGTTTTCAAACAGTGCACGACACTCTGCATCTTGACTGAGGCTCTCCCACTCTTAACAGTATTGTGTATTTTGTACATTTTCCACGGCATTCCTGATACTTTCCTGTCCACGGTCCCCAGTTTGGAAAGGCCTGTAATATTGGACTCTTCTTCTTCAGGAGTTCTTCGAAAACACTCGAGGTTCCATGTGTAGCTTTCGATCTTTAAATTTTTTGTATGTTTATTTATTTGGGTGGTTTATCGCAAAACTGTCCAATAGCTATCAGCGCTGTATTTGTCGTGAGATCAAACACCGAATTTCTGCATTGTAATTCCTCAAGGTTAAGACATCTTTTCTGATCCACTGTATTAATTGTTTTCCATTATGGTTGAACTAATTTAAGATGAAGAATGAGCTAATATGGACTATGTTTAAATAGAGAAAAGGTTACTTTATACTTTTTAAAGAAGAGAAGGGGCTATTTCAAAGTGAGAGATGGTGCTAGTTTAGACTATTTTAAAGTGAGAGATGGTGCTAGTTTAGACTATTTTAAAGTGAGAGATGGTGCTAATTTAGACTATTTTAAAGTGAGAGATGATGCTAGTTTAGACTATTTTAAACTGAGAGATGGTGCTAGTTTAGACTATCTTAAAGTGAGAGATGGTGCTAGTTTAGACTATTTTAAAGTGAGAGATGGTGCTAGTTTAGACTGTTTTAAAGTGAGAGATGGTGCTAGTTTAGACTATCTTAAAGCAGAAATTGGTATAAACAGGTTATTTTGGGCTTTTAGAAGAGAAAGAGGGAGCTAGTGTTAATTACATTGAAGTAGACTATTCTGAAGTAGGAGAGGGAGTTTGTGTAGATTAAACAGAAATATTGACTGAAGAGCTGAAAGCAACACCTTTAACCTTTCTATATTGCCATCTTCTGTGGGTTTTTTAAACCGTTTAATACAAATAATATGAATAATAAGTTGCAAATATTCAAATAGGAAACTTACCATTGACCCTCATATGTCGATTTGACCGAACTCGTAAATAGGTCTGAAATATAGAACAAAGTAATCATAAACAAAAGCAAAAAAAAATTAAATACTGACAAGGTGTGTTAAAAGTAACAATTTACTAAACAATCTGAGAAAAACGAAAACAAAAATAACTACAAGAAACAAGGCGTTGGAACTAACAGGTCGGCACAACAGCACACTTACGAAAAATAACTACAAGAAACAAGGCGTTGGAACTAACAGGTCGGCACAACAGCACACTCACGAAAAATAACTACAAGAAACAAGGTGTTGGAACTAACAGGTCGGCACAACAGCACACTTACGAAAAATAACTACAAGAAACAAGGTGTTGGAACTAACAGGTCGGCACAACGGCACACTTACCTCAAACAACAACAAGAAACAAGGCTTTGGAACTACCAGGTCGGCACAACGGCACATTTACGACAAACAACAACAAGAAACAAGGTGTTGGAACTGTCAGGTCGGCACACTTTCAGTGAAGACTTGGGTTAAATTTACTTAAAGTGTCCATCTTTGACTTTCTGTACAGTTTCTAAAGCTTAACACAGTTTGCAAGGATAATATTCAAAAGGTAAAAGAAAGAACATTAAACCAGACGATAACAACTGGTGCATGTGATTTCACCAATCTTGTAATTACGGAGTAAAAGGGGCGTGAACAAACACTGTTATATCAAAAGAATTCAACCAATTGAAACTGTGCTAACAAATTACACTTTACAGATTTATTTGTACGTTACAAGAACTCGTGGGAAGTAAAAGAAGAAGGGTATGTGTCACTAAAAACATGGATAGGCCTAATGTCAGTTTCTGCACTATATATATACAGTTTCCCTCTCGCCACTGTAACGTTATAAAAAACAACAACACCTACTAAAATTAACATATTCGAAGCATAATAGGATAGTATAGACTGTTTACATGAATTGTATGGAAAGTCCCTTACCTCCCACCTAGCTATTGGAGGTCTTCGATCCCCTACTCTGGATGTACCACACTGTTTCAGGATAGAACAGTCAAAATCTGGGGCGACCTAGGAAATATATGATAAACAAGAATATGCTGTACAAAAATGGATTTTCGTTACATACATTTCTATATAAATATACTAGTACTGTCTGTT